TGTTGGCCAGACACAGTGGTGCATGCCTGTAATCCCAGCACTCTGGGAGGCTGAGGCAGGAGGATCTCAAGTTCATGATCAGTCTGGGCAACTTAGTGATATAGTGAGACCTAGTCTCCAAATAAAAATGTATGGGGCCAGGGATTTAGCTCGGTGGTTCCGCTACCTGCCTCACAAGTGCAAGGTCCTGAGTTCAATCCCTGCTACCAAAAAAAAAAAATGTATGAAAAGGGCTGGAGATGTAGCTTAGTACAAAGTCCCTGGGTTTAGTGCCCAGTACCAAACAAAAAGAAATTTAGGGCTGGGGATTTAGCTCAGTGGTTCCACCGCCTGCATCAAAAGCGCAAGGTCCAAGTTTGATTCCCAGTACAAAAAAAACCTTTTTTAATCAGTGCTTTCAGTCACTTCCTTCGTGTTCTGTTTCCAGGGGCCCTGAGACACTTGGTAAGGTCACAGAGTTAAAGGCGTTTAGGCAGCACATTAGTCAGAGAAGTTATCATGGGGAAGCAGAAAGTTTTTCTCTTCTGGAAGAACAGTCGTCATATTTGAGTGTTACAATTAAACCCCCACTTATGCAGGTGTCATTGTTTTAAATTTGAATTTTGATGAGACTGTATAGTATTAAAATACTCACTGAAAGCTGCTGGAACCATATGTGATCATTTGTACAAAGCATAAACATTAAATAGCGAAATATTAGCCAATTAAGCTAACAGCAGTATTTTTCCTAGATTTTAACTTAGTTTTACTTATTGATTGATTGATTTTTGTTTTGTTTTGTTTTTTTGGTACTGGGGATCAAACTTAGGACCTTGCACTTTCGAGGCAGGCGGCAGCACTACTGAGCTACATCCCTGGCCCTTGTTTTGTTTTATATTTTTGAGACAGGGTCTCGCTATGTAAGTTAGGCTGGCCTCCAATTCACTTGATCTTCGTGCCTCAGCCTCCCAAGTTCTGGGATCACAGGTGTGCATCACCACGCTGGCTCCATGTTTGTTTTTGTTGGCCCACATATTTACCTTTGCAGGCTTCTTCCCTCAGCCCCTGGCATTTCTAGAACCTTCCCTTCTGAGGTGAAGATCTCCCTCAGTATTTCTTGCAGTGCAGGCTGGGGACAGCTTTCTCCAATTCTGTTTGTCTAAATAAAACTTTACTTTCCTGGGCTTTTTGGAAAGGTGTTTTCATCAGATTGTTCTGTGGGTTGATAGGTTTTTCCTTTAGCATCTTGAAGTTCTTCCTGTTATCCTGACTGTCATTGTTTCCTTGAAAAGTCAGCTGCGGTCTGGTGCTTCCTCCAGAGCTGAGGACCTCATTCCTCCTGGCTGACTTTTCTCTGCCTGGGCTCCTAAGCCTCCTACCTGTGATGAGCTTAGATGTGATTTTCTTTGTATGTGTCCTGCCTGGGATATATGTGGTTCTGTTTAATAGGTTCCAGGTTTCTGTTGAAATTCATTTCTTTGCAGATGATTTGGAAAATACCCTCACAAAAATTCCAGGATGAATGTGGGCCTTGGTACATACATTTCTTTTCCTTTTCCTTTCTTAAAAATGCCAGCTCGGGACGGGGATTTAGCTCAGTGGCACTGCACCTGCCTTGAAAGCACAAGGTCCTGAGTTCAATCCCCAATACCAAAAAACCCCCAAAAAACCCCAGCTCCTTCATGCATGGTGGAACATGCTTATGACCCCAGCACTTGGGAGGCTGAGGCAGGAGGATCGCCATGAGCTTGAGGCCAGCCTGGACCACATAGTGAGACCCTGTCTCAAAAAAAAAAAAGAAAAGGCAGCTCCTCGAGTACTGCACATGTTACGGGAACAACTTGTCTGGCTGTTTCACCTCGGCCAAATGCAGAGCATTCCAGAGCAGCTTTTCAATGGCTGTACTCACTTGGGTTTCATGACAGATCCTAAAAAATGGTTTTAATTTTTTCTTTTGTGCCACATTTCAGGAAAAACAAACAATTGATGGCCTTAAAGATGACCTCCTTCCTTATCTTTTCCAACCAGTTTAGAAAAGCAAGCTAGAGCTGGACATGATGGCACATGTTTGTAATCCCAGCACACAGGAGGCTGAGGCAGGAAGGTCACCATGAGTTTGAGGCCAGCCTCAACATAGTGAGTTCAAGATCAGTCTGGAATACATAGCAAGACCCTGTCTCAAAAAAAAGTTAAGTATATAAAATAATTAATGTGATTCCCTCTTACCCATCAATAGTCCCTCTAATTCTGTATAGGTGAACCAACCACATATATAAAGACAAAATTTGCTGGGTGTGGTGGCACACGCTTGTAATCCCAGCACTCAGGAGGCTGAGCCAGGAGGATCTCTGCAAGGTCGAGGCCAGCCTGGGCTACATAGTGAGTTAAAGGCCAGCCTGAACTATACAGGGATAGACACCCTATCTCAAAAAAACCAAAAAAAAATGTATCAATAAATGAATAAATAGATGTTGAATTATTAAACCTAGAGTCTGTTTTAGTTAGGCGCCTTTAATTCTACCCTTTTCACTATTAAATCAACAATTTAGTTGGTTAGAAGATAATAATTTATATGTAATTTATATATATAGTTTAATATAGTTGGTTAGAAAATAATTTTCTTTTAGTTAAAAAGTACCATAATGTATCAATATTTTAAAAGAAATATACATCTTATTGCCACAGCTCCTTAAGATAGCAGTTTAATTATTTGCTTCCTTCTCTTTGATCTTTTCTGTTTTATTTATTTATTTATTTTAGTACTGGGGATCGAACTCGGGACCTTGCGCTTGAGAGGCAGGTGCCGGAACCACTGAGCTAAATCCCTGGCCCCTGTTTCATTTATTTTTATAACTATCATAATACATGATTTTACAGTTTACACTTTTTATTGTCAAATAACTTCAGCATAGTCTTCGTAATTACACTATTTTCGGGCCAGGGATTTAGCTCAGTGGTTCCACCACCTGCCTCACAAGCACAAGGTCTCAAGTTCAATCCCAGGTACCCCCCACACACCAAAAATAATAATAATAATAAGTACATTATTTTAATTGCTATTTGACACTTTTCTCATTGCTATACTAGCATTTCACAAGTTTTCATGTTGGTATTGTTCCAGTTTTCATTACTAAAAATAATGCCACATTGAACATCTTTGATTCAGGGATCCTACTCCCCAAAATAATTCAACAGAGAAAAGGCTGTGGCACAAATAGAGGGAATTTTTATAATTCTTGACAGAAGCTGTGTTGAAAAATAAATCTCATGGGACCAGCAGTGGTTTTAGAATGACATTTGCATTAGGAGCTAGGACTTTAAAATGTGGCTTGTTTTAGCAGCTCTGCAAGTGAGCTTTTGGTCATGTGACAGATGCCCAAGAGAGGCAGTGGTGGGGAGGGAAGGTTTGTTGCAGCTCACAGTTTCAGGGGTTCAGTCCATGGTCACATGGCCTTGTACTTCAGGGACTGTGGCTGCACCATGCATCATAGCAGGAACACTTGACAGAGGAGGCCTGTCACTCATGGTGGCCAGGAAGCAGACACGGGATTGAAGGGGATGAGGTTCCAATATCCCCACCCTCATTAACCTCACTTCTTCCCACCAGGCCCCAGCTCCTTCCCACAGCACCATGGCCTGGGGACCAAGTGTTCACTACGTGGGCCTTTTAGATTTGTTTTAATATGCATTTCTTGGTTCATTACCCCGTTTCCTTGGATATAAGCCCTGGCATGATTTTTTCAGAATGCTTGTAATATAAGCCCTACCCCAAAAATAAGCCTCAGTTAAGATCATCAGCCAGATTTAGCATTTAGTACATCCACTCAACACACAGGGGACATACTGAATTATGACAATGTTCCAGAAGAAGATGGCATGGCTGTATTTGAATAAATGTAGATTTTTTTACATGAATAAATGAGTAAGTGTAGGTTGTTGTACATGAATAAATAAGAATTCCTTGTAAATGTACCCTATTGTTGTCTTGGAGAAAAAATTAATAGGGGACCCAGTCTGATTTGAGGGGAATATAGTAATAAGATTGAACTGTTTTTCCTGTTTATCTTTGCTCTGCGTTTAGACCATCATTTTCACCCCTGGGCTTTTGCCTGTTACTAAATCATGAAGGTTGATACCTTGCAGTATCCCAGAGGGTGTTTGCTGTGCACATTAATTGAGATCCGAGACCAGGGATGGCAAACCTTTTAGGGCTTTCAGTGATACAAACAGCCCACTGTGGCACGTGTGCTATAGGTTCGTGTCTAACAGTCCCTGGCTTTAATGGGCACGAAGTGAATGTTTGTCTCTCAAGGTATATAAAAATGCAAGTGTATTACATCTTTATACTTCTTCTTTCTCAATATTGAGGTTGAGAAAATCTTCTTTATTTTGTTATGGAACCTACTAAAAACAAAAATGGGGGGGTCAGTACAGGGAATCAGATTTAGGACCTAGCGCTTGCCAAGCACGCGCAGCGCCACTGAGCTGCATCCCCGGCCCTGAAAACAAATTATTGATGCAAGTATTTTGATGCAACTTCAGTGTTTTCAAATGAATTACTGACCACATATAGGAGAAACTAGGCTCTAACGCTGATTTTGTGTGATGCTAATTATAAAAGTCTCTATATATACAAGAGTCTTTAGTCACAATAAGAAAAATAATTGAAGGTAATTACATTGTTTCCATTTCAAAAAATCTCTAATGCCTATATGCCTTTCAGTATAATACAAAAGGATTTTTGTTTCTAATGTTTACTTATTTTTAGCTTACCAAAGTTGCAATCTATCATCAAAGATAACTCAGAGTATTTGGTTAAAATCTTAGTTTATGGTATTTTTTTTTCCTTTCCTTAGTTTATAGTCTTTAAAAGCCTGTTTTCACCAGCATGGTAACACATGCCTTGTCTCAGCTCCTCAAGAGGCTGAGGCAGGGGGATTCCTCTGTGAGACCTCATTTCAAAGGAACAAAAAACCAAACACACAATGAAAGTTTGTTTTGCTCTCCTTGCTTTTCTCTAGGTGAAAAAGGCCTTTTTTGCTTTGGTAGCCAACGGTGTCCGAGCAGCGCCACTGTGGGAAAGTAAAAAGCAGAGTTTTGTAGGTGAGCAGCGTGGGCCTGGGGACATTGGACCGGGAGGGAGGGGGAGCTTCAGGCTTGTAGGCCTCAGGCTTGTCACTGGGTGGGTTTGGCATCAGCCTGGTAGACCTGTTAGCAAGTGAAAGTGTGCCCCTGCTTTTTTTGTTGTTGTTGTTTTGAACAGGATCTCACTTCCTCTAGTGCAAGCTGGTCTTGAACCGGGCTACTGGCCTCAGACTTACGGCAATCCTCCTGCCTCAGACTCCTGAGTGCTGGGATTACAGGCGTGCACCACCATGCCTAGCTATGTCCTCACTTTCGCATCGTGGATAAATTCAGAACACTGTCACATTTCAACTGAATTCCTTTTTTTTTTTTTTTGTACTGGGAATCAAACTCGGGTCCTCGAGCTTCCCAGGCAGGCACTGCGCCATTGAGCTACATCCCCGGCCCAGGTTAAATTTCTTTTCATTTAGCAACTTTTTGGCTCAGGTGCCTTTATTAGCCCCAGGAACAAAATCTGCATAGATGCACAGAACACACTTGAATTAGTGCCCCTATCCGGATCTGTCCAGTGAATTGTGTGACAGCTAAGCTCTGTCACCATCTGTCACCTTTAGGCAGGGCAGATGAAAGGGTGTGAATGTGCTAGGTGTCCTCACTGTTCATGATATTGTATAACACAGTTGTTTAAACACTGTCATTCCTCACCCGATAAATCACAGGAGACAAATAATGACACTGTCACTGTCTCAAGATTCAGCACAATATTTTGTAATTGCCACTGGGTGTGGTGGCGCACAACTGTAATCCTAGCAATCAGGAGGCTGAGGCAGGAGGATCACTTTGAGTTCAAGGCCAGCCTGGGCTACACAGTGAGTTCAAGGCAAAGCCAGCCTGAACTACATAGCAAGCCAGTCTCAAAAATCAAACCAAAAAAACAGCCTGCTTATGTCTGCTTCCCCCTCTAGATTATAATTTTCTGAGGGAAAAGCTTTATATCTTTCTCATCTCCACAGTCCTGGTGTGTGGCTTGGAAGAGGCGCAGAGTGACTGACTACCCTGTTAAAAACCACTGTTTAGAATGCTTCTCTGGCGTCACAGTACTGAGGCTTACAAAATCCTTTCTCTTACTTTATCATACTACATCTTATTTTATAGTATTTTAGATTTTTTCCATATAGCTGCAATTTTTTTGATATTTTGTAACAGTTTTCTCTCATTGAATTGCCACATACTTTGATGAATTACAAACTTACAATCAAGTTTAATTTCAGCTAGATTTTGATATCTGTTTTGGAATAAGCAATAAATTAATAGTTTTCTCTTTTTTCCCCTATTAAGTTTATTGGTACATTTTAGGTATAAAATACAGTTACATACATCATTGGAATCTTGTAGAATTACATGATGTATCTTGGTTCTTATTTTTTCCCCATTTTCCTGCCCTCACTTCACCCCCTCCACCCTTCCCTATTTGCAAAGACTTTGTTTCCATTTTTTTCCTTTTCTCATATTTTTTCTTTTCCCTTCTTTCCTTTCCCCTACCCTTCCCACTTCCCCTACTCCTTTAGACCTTTTCTTCCTATTACACAATATCAATTATACATTTTTAAAATTAGAATATCAAGATCTAGGAGACAGTACCACAGATTTTACAGAGTTTAAAAGGAAATAGTTTTAAATAATATACTAAACTGGCCTGGGGATTTAGCTCAGTGGTTCTGTTGCCTGCCTTTGCAAGCTCAAGGTCCCGAATTTGATCTCCAGTACCAAAAAAAAAAAAAAAGATTCAAATAATAATAATAATATACTAAACTGTCCTTGAGATTGTTAACCTATATTATATAGGCTTTTCTTATAAATATTGTAGGTTTAATGTCTTATAAAGTTTTCTGTTATGTATCTATAGTTTTAACATCTAATTCTTTGTTTCAGGAATGCTAACAATCACAGATTTCATAAATATACTACATAGATACTATAAATCACCTATGGTAAGTGCAGCAATCTTTTTTTTTTTTAAGAGTCGGGGTTTTTTGGGGGGGGGGGGTTGGTACCAGGGATCGAACTTGGGTCCTTGTGCTTGCGCAGCAGGTGGCAAAACCACTGAGCTGAATCCCCAGCCCCAGTGGCAGCAGTCTTGACCATGTTTTACTAATTAGCACTGTATATGTCTATTGTGTGTGTAGAAGCTGGGTCTGTGTCTTGAGATATTTTTGGTACAGAATGGTAATGGTTGCTTTTCCAAATAAATATAGTATAAGGAAGTTCAGTATAAAACTACTACCTGAAGCCAGGCATGGTGATTATCTTAGTTACTTTTCTCATTGCTGGGACAAAATACCTGACACCCAAAGTTAAAGGAGTAAAGGTTTATTTGGCTCAGAGTTGGTAGAGGTGTCAGTCCATACCTGGCTGGCTCCAAGGCAGGGTGGCACGGCAGAGAGGCATCGCAAAGGAATAGCTTGTGGCAGGCAGAAGGCAGCGAAGCAGCAGCAGCAGGCCTCTTTTTTCTCTCCTTTTATATCCATCCAGGCTACCTGCCCTTTGAGTGGTGCCACCCATACCCAGGATGGGCCTTCCCATTATCCACACCCAGAACTATGCCAAACCAGTCAGTGGACTGATTCAGTAATCACACACCGTAACCCTAGCATCACATACTTAATCCCAGCACCATATACTTAGATCCAGCCACCTCTGAAAAGCTCCACCTGTGACCACATGAAGCTTTGGGGGGGCATCTTGACACAAGCTGTGACAGTGGTGCACACCTGTAATCCCAGCACTCGGGAGGCTGAGGCAGGAGTATCACCAAAAGTTTGAGGCCAGTCAGGGCTACATTTTGAGTTCAAGCCCAGCCTGAACTACACAGTGAGACTGATTCAAAATACAAACAAAAAGGGCCTGAGATTTAGCTCAGTGGTTCTGGCGCCTGCCTCGAAAGTGCAAGGTCCCGAGTTCAGTCCCGGTACCAACAAAAAAAAAAACAAAACAAAAAAACACAAACTAACTGGGCCAGGGATTTAGCTCAGTGGTTTCGCTGCTTGCTGTGCAAGCACAAGGACCCAAGTTCAATCCCCAGTACCAAAAAACAAAAACAAAAAACAAACAGAAAAAACCAAAACACCATTAACCCTAGTAAACAGCCACCTTTGCTCTAAGTTGTACATTTGCAGCTTTTTTTTGTTTGTTTTATTTTTGTTGTTTGTTTGTTTGTTTGTTTCCCAGTAACAGGGATTGAACTCAGGACCTTGCACTTGCCAGGCAGGCACTGGCACCACTGAGCTAAGTCCCCAGCCCCTATACATTTGCAGCTTGAAGGAGGGATTCTCAGGAAAAGTCAAAGGGAATAACTGCTTTGTTCAGCTGTCACAGGTCCTCTGGTCAGGAGAATTCCACACGCTTATCCCCAGGGCATCTCTGCGTCTTGCTGGTTTATGTCACCCAACCTCTGGCAGCATGGAGTTCAGAGCCTACTCACCACTCCTGCCCAGGTGGCCAGCCCAGCAGGCACCGTGGTCCTGAGTGCAGGCCCAGTGGAGTGACAGAGCCTGGTGCTCTGAACCATATGGGCTGTGTGATTTTAAAGGAGAAAAAAGAAGTGAAAATTAAAATTGAAGAGATTCTGTTTGGACTTTGTTGTGCTGATGAGGAACCCTGGCGCCTGGTCCAGCTGTTCAGGATGAATGGTTGGGAGACCACTTCTGTCCTCTAAACCTGGGACATTTGTGATTCTGTCAGCTTGCACTTGGTTGTCATTTGTTTTTGAAGGTTGGAAAGGACAGAGTGGTATACTTCATTCAACTAGTAGTACAGGTGTATTTAAAGGGTGTAAGTCAGTCCACTAAACACTTGTTTTGTTTTATTTTTGTTTTGAGACAAGGTCTTGTTATATAGTTCAGGCTGGCCTTGAACTCACTATGTAGCTCAGTCCAGACAATCCTCCTGTCTCAGCCTCCCAAGTGCTGGGACTATAGGAGTGTGCCACCATGCTTAGTTGAAATAATGTGCTTAAGTGTGACAGTCAGTTACCCAGCATGGTAACAAGGGGATATATCTTCAGAAATATCATCAGTTGATTTCACCATTGTGGGAGCATGGTAGGGTGTTCTTACACAAGCTAAGACAGCCACAGAACTGCTGGGTGATGCCAGTGTTGGGGCCACAGTCGCATATGTGGCCCATCATTGACCAAAATGACTGTAATTCAATTCCTCCATAAAATACAAAATTAATTATTCATAAGGCATGCACTTAGAATGAAGTTTTACCTGGGCTCCATAGTGAGCTCAAGGATAGCCTGAACTAGAGAGCAAGACCCTGTCTCAACAACAAACAAACAAAAAAAAGAGTAAAGTTTTACCAGAGACTGTAAATATTGTTATGTCACATGATACATCTGATTTCTTAAACCCTACCAATTCACATGAATACCGTTGTCCTCACGTTGATCACATCTCTGCTCCAGGATTATCAAAATCAGCACAAGTATGGTTTCTTTTTCTTTTTTCTTTTTTTTTTTTGGTACTGGGGATCGAACTGGGGACCTTGTGATTGCAAGGCAGGCACCAGAACCATTGAGCTAAATCCCTGGCCCTACAAGTATGACTTCTTAAATGGAGAGATGTCACTGGGCGTGATGGCACGCACCTGTGATCCCAGTGGGAGGGTGAAGCAGGAGGGTCACTGAGAGTTCTTGGGTAGCCTGAACTACATAGCAAGACCCTGTCTTAAAAAACCATAAATACTCGGGGATTTAGCTCAGTGGCTCCACCACCTGTCTCGCAGTCCCAAGGACCGGAGTTCAATCCCTGGTACCCCCCCCAAAAAAAAGAACTGCACTTTAATTGGGCCAGGGATTTAGCTCAGTGATTCCGCTGCCTGCTTCGCAAGCGCAAGGACCCGAGTTCAATCCCCGGTACCAAAAAAACCCATAAATAAATAAATAAATGTGAAGAAAGTTCTGCCCAAGTCTCACATAACAAACCTCAGCATTTTATTAAACCAAAATTTAAAAGTAGTTAGATTTTATTTTATTAAACCAAAATTTAAAAGTAGTTAGATCTAAATTTATAGCCTATATTAGTTTTTCTTAATACTTGAAGTTACCTTTTTACTCTGTATTTTCCCTCATCTTCATGAAATAAGTAAACAGAAAATTATTATGAAAGCTGTGTTTTATTCCGTGTTCTAAATAACTTGTTCCTATGTTGTATGTGTTACCATTTGTAAATTAGAATTTCTCTTGTTTGCAGGTACAGATTTATGAATTAGAGGAACATAAAATTGAAACGTGGAGGGGTAAGCACCACGGGGGTTAAAAACCTTTCATATCCAGGAGAAGATGTTAGGCTTAGTGTGTAAAGTGTGCCTTAATATCACAGATTCTTTTCGCGCTGCTTAATAATAACACAGTAATCAAAACATGTTGCTTATTTCTGTCTCCACATGGGTAGTCCGCCGTGTTAACGCTAAGGCTAGGGATGGACTGTGTGATGTGCTGGGATTTCGGGGTGCACGATCTGACCCCTAGCTAGCACCCTCAGAAATCCACCTTTGAGCTGGGCTTGGTCGCACATGCCTATGATCCCTGCACTTGGGAGGCTGAGGCAGGAGGATCGCCAGCCTGGGCTACATAGTGAGTCCAAGGCCAGCCTGAGCTGTATAGTGAGACCCTGTCTCAAAAAACAAAACAAAACAACAACAACAACAAAAATGGAGGAACCAACTGAAGGAAAATTTCAAATTTGAAATTGGATTTGCACTTCTGTAGTATGCTTGACAGGTTAAGTAAGCATGTAACTGGCTGAGAAACCTAAACATCCGTTAGAGTTCCTAAAAGCTGTATAGCCCTTTGAATTCCATATGCGTTAGAAGCTCATTGAGTGATATATTTATTATGGCTTTATCAAGCCAAGCAAAATGAATTCAGTCAGTGTGAGACCACACGGCCTGTGGGAAAAGCTTATGTAACCTAACACCGGACACACTTTTCCCATCGAAGGGTAATGTCCAAGTTCTATGGGTGGACCCCTCAGCATATTTACAACTTGCCATACATATTTGGTAGTAGTAATGATAATACCCAGATATTCTCAAGTGCCTTTTGTATATAAACTTCAGTAAATCAAATTAATTAGTTTATAGCTCTCTAAAGAAAATTTCTATTTGCTAGGAAGATTCTCCAGATGCAGTAGGTTTTGAACATTCACAAAGTAAAATAAAACAAGAACATTTGAGGAACAGTTTCTTATAACTGATTTTATCTTACAGCTGATAAAAATTGGCTTTAAATGATTTTGTAAATGCTTCCTTTCTTGAGGATAATTTTACTTGATAGCATTCTAGTGACCTCTGCTGGTATTGTGTGTTTGATTTCTTGATTTTTTTTTTCTAATGTTACAAACATTTATTGAAATACTATTAAGTATTGAATTTTTCTTCAAAAACAACAGCCTGAAAAGGGTTGAAATTAGTTAAAGTAGCTGTGTCTTTAATAAAATAGTTTTGGATAAGTTCCTATTGGAGTCATAATTCTTGTAATTATCTGTAAACTGAAGGATATTTGAATTTATAGCATAATGACAAGCAGCAAACATGTTACTGACTGAGTATTTTCTTTTTATAAATACAGAGCTTTATTTACAAGAAACATTTAAGCCTTTAGTGAATATATCTCCAGATGCAAGGTAAACTTGTAGATTTTTTTTCTATTGAAAACATTCATTCTGATGTCTGTTTTATAACCATGACATCTAAATAGAGACAAATAAACCAACAAACCTGGTCCACAGTCCAGGTAAAGCCAGCCTTCTTATCTCCAAATCCTAATTTCCGTAAACATAAGGACATTTCGAATTACAGACATTCTTAGTCCCAGGGATTGAAACTGGGCTAGGTCACCCTAAGCATTTTGAAAATCCAGGCCTGGAGCAGGATCAGTAGGGAGCATGTTAAAGTTACCCAGTCCCAGTAGCTGGGTGTGGTAACGCACACCTGTGATCCCAGCACTGTGGGAAGCTGAGGCAGGAAGATCGCAAGTTCAAGCAGACCCTGAGTGATTTAGAGACTTAGTGAGATCCTGTCTCAAAAAAAAAAAAGAAAACAGCTGGGGATTTAGCTCAGTGCATCCAATTCTCAGCACCGAAAAAACGAAAAATATTGCTGTATGGCTGGGCACAGTGGGTCGAACCTATAATCCCAGCTACTCAGGAAGCTGGGACAAGAGAATCATGAGTTTGAGGCCAGCCTGGGCTTCTTAGCTTCTTAGCAAGACCCTGTCTCAAAAACAAACGCATAGGGCCGGGTTTTACGCTGTGGTTATGCTGCCTGCCTCGCAAGTGCAAGATCCCGAGTTTGATCTCGATCTCCGGTACCAAAAAAAAGAAAACCCACAAACAACAACAAAAACTTTGTGGCTCATGCTTAGATTTGAGAGATAGTAAGAGATTGTGAAAAACCAAAAGTTAGCAGAGGTCTCCAATTTTAAACTCCTCTCCATGCTGTTTTAATCTGATCAACTTTTTATTACGGTGACATAAAAACAATTGAAAGCAAGGGTGGTCCGGAGCTTCCTGGTTTCTCTTCAAAGCCTCCTAACAACTTTAATGGCTTTTCCTGCAGCCTCTTCGATGCTGTATACTCGTTGATCAAAAATAAAATCCACAGATTGCCAGTCATTGACCCTATCAGTGGGAATGCACTTTATATCCTTACCCACAAAAGAATCCTCAAGTTCCTCCAGCTTTTTGTAAGTAGTTGTGAGTGTTCATAAAGACATAGTTGCCTTTATTTTCATTTATTTCAATCTGTTGGCTCCTGTTACTCTCAGTAACAGCAATCATTAGTTTTGAGGTCTGCTGTCCTAAACTTTAATTTCTCAGCTTACTGCTGTTTTAATGATAAACTCTTAAAATTGATTCCAGCTGATACACAGGCTTGCAATTCCAGCACTTGGGAGGCTGAGGCAGGAGGATCGCCAGGAGTTGGAGGCCAGCCTGGGCTACACAGTGAGTTCAAGGCTAGCCTGAACTTCACAAGACCCTGCCTCAAAAATGAATGAATTAATTAAAAGGGTGATTCCAATTAAAAAGCAGTCACCTTTTTATACAAGAATAAAAATGACAACATTTGGAATCCTTTATCACCTAACATACAGCGGTCACTAAAGCTGGTCTGTCTAATTAAAGTCCACTGCACAAGATAAACTAAGCCGATACTTAGGGCAAAAATCGTTTCATTGTTTCATGATTTGTTTACTAGTGTCATGATTTTTAGAAATCTGATCAAAAAATACTGTCCCTGACATGATCCTGTTACAAATTACAACAGTACCAGAAAATCCCAAAGCAGATAGAATTTTGGCAGGAGAATAAATACCATGTTGGTCCAAATCAGGCTTGTGTTGCCTGGAGGTTTTCTCCACTCCCCCTGAGATGAGCTGGCTTCGAATAATCCAGAATCTACAGGTTCTTTGCTGGGCAGTATCAAAAGCGGTGGGGAGCGATGGGGACCGAACCGTGGGCCACTGTACTTCCCTTTAATCCCATGCACTAAATTTGAGGTTAAAGTGATCAGTCAAATAGAAGCAGTGGGAGGCACCTGTTGTTCAAAAGAGGTCATTTGAAAAGTCACTTTTTCTAAAGATATTAAAAACCTGCTTCCCAGTATGGGGCTTCTTCCCCAGAAGCAGCCACATGAGAGCCGTGGAGCAGAGGGTCCAGTGATTGGGAGACCTTGTCCATCAGACCGATCTTGTGTCTTAACAGTCTCCATATATAAATCAATAAATGCTACAAAGTAAGGTAGGATGGAGAACAGTAATTTACCAAAAACAAAAGTTTAATAAGGGCCGGGGATTTAGTTCAGTGGTTCCGCTGCCTGCCTCACAAGCACAAGGTCCCGAGTTCGATCCCCAGTATCAAAAAAAAAAAAAAAAGTTTAATGAAATCTAGGAAAAAAGAACAGGGGTGCAGATCAGCATAGCCTCCCACCGTACAATCCTGGGAGGAGGCCACCTTAGTCACTGAGAGCCCATAGGACAGAAGGCACATTCCAGGGCTAAGATAACATGAACCCCAAGCCCTGGTCACTGTGTGTCCGGCTGTGTCCTCAGCCCCTGACATGCTAGATGTTACCTTCATGACCGCCCTGTCAGGTCGATATTGTTATCAACCCCATTTCGTAAGGGAGGCAGCTACATAAGTGGGGTTCCGGAATGTGGCCAAGGAATGGGCTGCGAGTATAGCATCTGATTGTGTAGCTACCTTACAAACCTCTGATGCACTACCACTGCTAGCACTGGGGTCTCCACCAGGACTCTGTGACTCCCAAACCAGGACCACCTCTGCTGTCACAAGATCACCCCCTGCAGAACAGCTTCAGACTTGTCTGTAAAAACGGGAGGTTACCAGGCATGGTGGTGCATACCTGTAATCCAGCACTTGGGAGGCTGAGGCAGGAGGATCACTGCAAGTTCAAGGCCTACCTGCACTACATAGTGAGTTCAAGGTCAGCCCAAACTATATAGTGAGATACTGTCTCTAAATAAATAAGCAGAAGAAGTTGCCTCTGCCAAGGGCTGCCTTATATTTGGGCCAATATGGTAATTAGAATAATGCTACTGGAATATTTCAGCTAGAAGGTCTCGGACAAAAATACAGAATTTAAAGAAAAAAACTTTAGGGCCTGATGTTTACTGAGTTAATAAATCACTTTACAAGACAAGTAGCATTAGCCTTCAAGACATCAAAGTTTAGCTAAGCATAGCACATAGAACAGGGAATATCCTGTATTGAGATACACTAGGTGACCTAATAGGTCCTTCTTTTCTTTTTTTTTCTCTCTAAATTTCTAGGATTCTCATGATTTGAATATTGATGAACTCTTTGACTTGAACATTTTGTTTCTTCTAATTGTTCATCTTTTCCTAATAAGGTATACCAGGAGGATGGAATCAACAGTACCCTTTATAAAAGGTGGATCTTTGAAACCATAGACCTTATTTTGTTAGAGCCAAACGTGGGCCTCAACTTTTCTCTGCTGACCTGTTCCTCCTCTACAGTAGCCATGCAGAGGAACCCTAAAGGTTCTCTTCATTCTGTTCAGCTGGCTTATTCTTTGATCCTAGTAGACAAAAACTGGCATCCTCCAGAGAGATGGAGGACGTGGAGCTGGGACAGCAAGGATGGGGTTGGTGGCCTCAGACACTGTCCAGTGCCTTGGGCTTGGAACTGCCTGGCTTCTTAACTGTGACCCAACACTGGCAGCCGGGCCTGGAGCTTGACACTAATAATTAAGAATCAGGTCTGTTCTTGGTGGTTCACAAGTCTTAATTTCCTAAAAAGACCTGATGTCCCCTTCTAGCCATGTTTTTAATGAATGAAGAGAAGGAGAAATGTTATGATGTGTACACAGCACATAGCCAGACAGACTGGTCTGAAGGAAGGATTCAGTTCTGGCCTGTTCATCCTAATTGAGACAGCCACGCAGACACATAGCTTTTTACTCAGACCTGGACTTGTGAGCTTTGTTCAGAGGGCTTTTGGGGTCCCAGAACCTTTGATTTCTCTTGGTCCCAGATGTCCGACATGCCAAAGCCCGCCTTCATGAAGCAGAACCTGCAGGAGCTGGGGATAGGAACCTACCGAAGTATTGCCTTCATCCACCCAGACACGCCTATCATCAAAGCCCTGAACATATTCGTGGAGAGACGGATATCAGCGCTGCCTGTGGTGGACAAATCGGGTCTGTTGTCCCCCTTAACCGCATTTTCATACTTCCATCAAGATAGGATTTCATACCCAGCTGTGGTGCACACCTGTAATCTCAGCACTCAGGAGGCTGAGGCAGGAGGATCATGAGAGTTCGAGGCCAGCCTGGACTACATAGTGAGTTCAAGGCCAGCCTGAACTATATAGTGAGACCCCATCTCAAAAAACAAATAAATACTTCGCAAGTGGAAGGTCTTGAGTTCGATCCCCAGTACCAAAAAAACCCCAAAAAACCAAGTAAATAAAAAGATTCCGTTTCGTGTCCGTATAAAATAGGCAAATGTCAGTGTTCAGTCCTTAATCTTAAAATAGACAAGTTTATCAGTCTTCAATCCTTAGTAATTATCTATTTAAGACTGACTAAAATGAGTGATTTTGTTGTTCCTAAAATACTTTTCTAACATGTGTTTTCATTTTTAGGAAAAGTTGTAGATATTTATTCCAAATTTGATGTAATTGTAAGTACTTTTTCATTTTCTTTAAATTTGTAATTTTGAATGCATTTTTTGGAATGCATTTTAAATCCTTTCCAGTGTTTTTTGTTTTCCTCTCATTCCCTGACTTCATAATTGCTGTTCTGAGTCACAGGACTAGAGAATGCCATACTCTCTTGTAATGTTCACTGGCTTGGCAGTGAGTCATATGCTAGTATAGATTAGTATTTTGTAATTCTGTCTTGTCAGTATCTGTATATTGTACCCAGCCTTGTAGCACACACGTACATTGTAAATGCTCGTATTTGTATGTGGGCATCATTAGCCTCCCTGCAGACATGTGCTTGGTGTATGTGTGAATTCACACGGATCCACACACACGTGGACTTGTTAGATGTGGTCTGTTGCTGGCTCTTTGGGATTACTGTTCTAAAGAAGACGGCAAATGGATTAGTTACCCATTTAATGGAGTTATAGTGAGTGCTGCATTTGAATCCCTGATTTCAGTCTACTAGGTTCATTGTGGCCCCTGTCTTTCCATTTGATTCTCTTTTTTCCCCATCCATGTATGAATAGACTTAGAGTTTTACAGTGCCTAAGAAAGGAAACCCATACTTGTTGCATCACCCCAAATGTACACACCAATTTTTTTGGCTATGACATCGACCCTGGCACTGAATATTCTTTCACAGCTGTCCTAAATCTTTCAGGTCAGCCTTATGATTAACATAGTAGACACCAAAATGTCTGTTTATTACAGTGTGGCTGCAGTGGGACCCTGAGATACCACCTGGGGCCATGGGACTTCCTGGGCCTGTTCTTCCTCCAGTGCTTGACCTTGATGGGCCCCCAAAACCCTATCTTCCGGGAAGCCCCTTGGAAAAGTTAATTGATGTTGGATCCCATCCTCTGGAGGCGCTGTGACCCTTACAGATGTCAGCTCACCTCCCCAAGAATGTCGTTTACTCACAGAAGTTTTTGACAGGATATGCTATCAAAATTTATCATACTTTGGGGGAAAAAATTAACATAATATGAAAGCTTTAATTGCAATGTGAAAGCTTTAATTTGATAAGATGATGAAGTAATACTGATGGCCTGATAAAACTGAAAAGAGAACTTCCAATAGCAAATTTAAATAATAATAGAAATCAGGTTGCCTTAAACTTACTAATTTTGGCCATTATGCAAGTTGCAATGAAGGCTGTAATTTTATTCTGTGGCTCTGTTCCAGAATCTTGCTGCTGAGAAAACCTATAATAACCTGGACATCACCGTGACACAGGCTCTGCAGCATCGATCGCAGTATTTCGAAGGCGTTGTGAAGTGCAGTAAGCTGGAAACACTGGAGACCATTGTGGACAGGATAGTGAGAGCCGAGGTGAGGCCCAGGCCCCTGCCCACTCCCTTCCCCAAGTTTCCTGGGACAAACACCCCATGGCAAATGGTGCCTCATGAACTTGTGTCCCCAGGAATGCCCAGTGAGGCGACCTTCACGTCTGTCAGAGGGAGTCCTGTTCCAGAACATTCCGTGGCAGCTGTGCTGGAAAGGGCTGTTGAGTTTGGTGGTATTGAGTTTCAAGTCCAGATATCACAGTCGATGCAAAAGGACTGGTGAAATACTCTCATGCTTTAAAAAATATATACTTAAGAAGAATCACCCCAGGACCTTTAGGTTCTATTAGGGTACCTTTGAATTCAGAGTTTTAAAGGCATAATTCTTTTAATAAAGTGAATCATAATAAAATAAAGCAACCACTGTTTCAAGTTAATCTTTCCTCTTCCCCCAGTCTCTCTCCCCTGATTTATAGTAAATGGTCCCATATCTCAGTCTCCTGAGCCCCAGCACTCCCAGCTCCACATGGAGGATTTTCAGGGCTACTCTGCACAGCACCCTGTAGGGAAAAGGAAAGGGGTCATGGTATAGCAGGCCCCTCCCGCACACATTCCCACAGCTGCTGCTCCTGCTTAGACAGGGTGGGCCGTGCTGTCCTGCTTGTCTCTCTCAAGGACTGAAGGAACCAGCTCCATTCCTTGTGGAACAACCCCTAATTAGGCAGAGGATTCACAGTGACCTTCTGTTTTCTTATTATTGTAAATGCAAGAGTACAAGCCAACAGCAAAGTCCCTGATTATTTTTCCAGCTAGTAACAGGCAGCATCATTACTAGAAATCCCCCGAAGTCCTCCTTTAATTGTGTGTTCAAGATTTCAGAAACTACCTAAGAGCACACACTGCACAGGACTGACAGTGGCTGCTCCTGGTGGTGGCATCCTTTCCAGTCACACCGGGGGATGTGGGGACACGGGCAGTGCCTGCCTCTGTGGTGTTCATCTGGCAGCATAGAAAGCTCTGATACGGAAGTGGTCATTGAGGAAAACAAAGATGTCATTAAGCCACTTTCTCAAGTTACACGTCGTTTGTTTGTTTGTTTGGGGATTTTTTGGTACCAGGGATCGAACTCGGGTCCTTGCGCTTACAAGGCAGGCAACGGAACCACTGAGCTAAATCCCCAGCCCTCTCAAGTCACACATCTTGACTTTTTTCCTCAATAAAATTCTGCCACCAGACACCCCCTCGGTCTTTCGCTTTGATGTACTTAGTTAGAAGAAGGGCGAATAGGGTCAGTGAAGATTGAGTTTATCTAAGTGACAAATGATGCTAACTTTCAGGCACCTCAGTGGAGAACATTCGTGAGTTTAGGGTTGGCAGCAGAGGACAAGAAAACGAGTTTGGTGCCCGTTTCTGCCGATCTCTGGGTGACATGATTTCCCCTTGACCCTTGGTAGAGCAAAAGATACTTAATTACCACTGTTGAATACTGTTAAAATATGTCTAGCATAAATTATAAAAGCGTCCCCTGATCCCAGATATGAACCATCATTTTATAGTTAGAGCAAATAATTGTGCTGCATTACAGGATTACTGAAGGACTGAAATATCTTACTAGAGAGGCTTTTTAAAGAAATTTTTGTTGACTCACATGAGAAAGATGACCATATGGCTTGTTTTTCTAACCTAAAGCAAGCTACGATGTCAAGAACATCACCAACATAGATCAGTGGACACCAAATATTAAAACAGGCCAGGCAGGTGGCACACACCTGTAATCCCAGCACTTGGGAGGCTGAGGTAGGAGGATTGCCACAAGTTTGAGGCCAGCCAGTGCTACATAGCAAGAGCCTTTCTCAAAAAAAAAAAAAAAAAGAATGTCCGCCTCAATCCTCCATACTTGCAGAGTCTCCTAGGTAACCAGCTGCTGTCTCTCTTGCTCGCTGTTGTTGCTAGAAACCGCCAAACATTTCTCCACACATCTGTTAAAGATTTTAGATTAGAAAACTAGAGGTGAACATTATCTGTTGCACATTGTTATAGTTCATTTATCCTCTTCAACGTTATCCTTTAATATGTGAACTTTGTAGAAAAAAGATACTAATAAAAAATAATCAGGTGGGGCCGGGGATTTAGTTCAGTGGTTTCGCCGCCTGCTGCGCAAGCGCAAGGACCGGAGTTTGATCCCCGGTACCAAAAAATAAAAATAAAAAACAAAAAATAATCAGGTGCACACCTGTCATCCCTATACTCTAGGAGACAGAGGCAGGAAGATCCCAAGTTGGATCCCAGCCTGGGCAACTTACCGAGACTTTGCCTCAAAATAAAAAATAAAGGGGCTGGGGATGTAGCTCAGTATGAAAGCCCTGGATTCAATCCCCAGTAGCACATATAATAATGATAATCTTAAAAGCAGAGCCAGGCGTAGTAGCGCACAGCTGTCATTCCAGCATTCAGGAGGCTGAGGCAGGAGGATCATGAGAGTTCCAGGACACCTGGGCTACACAGTGGGACTCTGCCTCAAAAAAATAAAATCTTAAGAGTAATGACCCTGTTTCCTGCTTTCCATGATCATCTGGACTTCTTTACCATTCAAAGCAGGTTGGCCGCTGCTTGCTAGAAGCTGAGATACAACTTGACAAAATTAAAACTGTTGTGGTTGAGATTATTACAACCGCTTTGTGGCTCTACTCTGAACTGTAGCTTTCACGCACTGCTCTTGTGGCACCTGAAACCGTGGCAGGATGTGACTGGCTCGTTTCTCTTAGAAGCGACCGGTCACACCTGAGGTACATCTTAACTTTGGAGCCAACCCTTCCTGTGGCTCGGGCCGCAGTCGCTTGCTGTCCCTGGTGGGACTGTGTGTCATTGCCAGTACGGGACGGATGCTTTTCCAGTGTCCATTTTGAAGCTGAAATGTCCCATGTGGCCTGTCTCTCTTCTGCAGGTGCATCGGCTGGTGGTGGTGAACGAGGCCGACAGTATCGTGGGCATCATTTCTCTGTCTGACATCCTGCAAGCCCTGGTCCTCACGCCAGCAGGTAACAGTGCCCATCTGCAGTGCCAACCAAGGAGACTGGACACTCGGAGCAGCGGTACCCACCTGCCAATGAGGGCCTTACTCTGCTTTGTGACCCATTTTCATTTTCTTTTCGGTTTTAAAATTTTATTTTTGTTTTTTTGTTTAAGACAGGGTCTCACTGGGCCAGGGATGTAGCTCAGTGGTGCCGTGCTTGCCTTGTAAGTCGAAGGTCCTGAGTTCAATCCCTGGTACCAGGAAAAAAAAAAAAAAAAAAAGACAGGATCTCACAGTGGAGCCCAAGCTCCCCTCAAACTCCTGGTGATCCTCCTGCCTCAACTTGTTGAGTGCTGGGATTACAGGCATCCACCACCATACCCAGCTTCATTTTTGAAATTTTAATGTTCTATTTGGATGAGAAAAGTTACTTAAAGGCAAAAGTTACTTAAAGGAAAGAGGGCTTTGGACAGTAGTTGCCCTTTCTCCCTGTCACATACTTAGTGATAACAGTTGGCCCCGCCCCATGAGATCTTAAACCCTCAGCACACCTTTCCCTTCTTTTTTCTTTTCTCTGCCTCCCTGGTCCCTGTCACCTCTGAACCAGCAGCCTTTGGGAGGCCTCAGGCCACAGACCCCAGACCAAGACAGGAGATCACAGGCAAGCACTTCGAACGCTCAGGAGTTGAGCCCTCCACACAGCCCTGTATGTGCCACAGTATTGATGTCCTTAGTCCAGCAATTCAGACTCCGAAAAGGCTACTTTACAGTAGTCTAAAAATACCCTAAAGGGATCCCCACCACCTGCCAGTCCCTTTTTCTTCACCAACAGAGACTCCAACCTAATCCCCACAGGCTGGGCACAGGCCCTCAGTATCGGCGTCACCAGGAACCCACCAGAAACGTCCACATGGATGTTTACTGACTCAGGAACACCCTTCAAATCAGAGATGGGCCACATACACCATCAGACTTCAGATACTGGCTTGAAACTCTCAATAATCCTTATTCATGAAATAATAATAACTAAATGAATGCAAGATTATTCAGGCATTATTCATAATACCTAAAATTTGGAAATTGCCCAGAGATCTTTCAAAAGAAGAACAAATACATTGCACTCCAGGTATGCCGTGGAATACTACATAGCACTGAGCAGTGCAGGAATCTCACTACCAAGACAAAGGAAGTCATGCTCTTCTCCACTGTGGGATTCCGTTTGTATAAATTTCCAAGTACCCAAAAACCATATAGCACCTTCCTGCAGCTTAGAAAGGTTTCTTCTAGGGCAGATTCGTACACAGAGCCATAGCTTGGCGCCTTCATGAAAAGATCTCCTTTCCGGGGGCCTCACCTGGGCCCAGGCAGCTAGTCCCCAGCCCAGTCCCACTGAATGTCAGGCCATCTCCTCTGTCCTTGACCAGGATTCTTTGGGTCGTGACAAGCTCAGAGGAACCTGTCGAGTGGTTGATCCCAAGGCCAGGCTGGAGAGTTCCAGTCACCGCCTAGACTGTGTCTGAGGAACTCCTACCCCTCATGCCCCTCCCCTGCAGGGCCCCCGAGGAGGCCATTTGGCAGCTGGAATTTGGGGTGTGTCACATAGAAATTCTACCACTAAGGGCTGGGGATTTAGCTTAGTGGCCTCCTGCCTGCCTGGCAAGCTCAAAGTTCTGAGTTTGAACCCTGGTACCGGGAAAAAAAGAAATTGGTCCATGAATACAGAGGTGGTTATATCCGAATTCTCAGTGGTACCCTGTCCGTAGCACTGTCCAAGGAGGGACACATTCTGTGTCCTTGTAACACGGCTCCGAGGGGCAATTGGGGCGAATTCATTTGGAACCAGGGGTACCAGGAGATGGCATGGTACCCACAGCAGACCCCCAGAAGCCCAGCACTGTCAGTCCACAGCCCTGAGCCCACCTGAGAGCTGTCTGTGTGTGAGCTATCACTTCCGCGAGCCGGCTGCCAGGCCTGCCTTCCTCCTGAGACATGAGCCCAGACTAGCCCTGTGTGGTGGGCATGTACAGAGCAACCAGGAGGAGGCACAGGGAGAGGTGGCCACCGTCACACAGCTGACACTCACATCACTGCTCCCTGTGAAGGACGTGATTCAGTCAGTAACATTTTCTCGTTTTTCAGAGACATTTTTAGCGATAGTTCATATGACGAATAAGCAATCATGATGGTAGCTGCAAAGTTTTAGCCCCTTTTTCTAATAGATTGTTAGTCTCTTTCAAAAGTCTACCACATGGGCTGGGGATTTAGCTCAGTGGTTCCGGTGCCTACCTCGCAAGCGCAAGGTCCTGAGTTCAATCCCTGGTACCAAAAAAAAAAAAGTGTACCACAGAGCGTGGTTGTGGCACACGCTGTAATCCCAGCACTCAGGAGGCTGAGGCAGGAGGGTCACAAGTTGGAGCCCACCCAGTCTGGGGAATTTAGCAGCCTACTGAGGCCTCGCCGTCATCCCAAAATAAAAAGGAATGGGGATGCAGCTCACCATGAAGCCCCTGGGTTCAGTCTCCAGAACTACCAAAAATGCAAAAGCTCAGCAGCAGGAGCCGGCTTATTTAATTTAAAGCAAGCCGGGCATGATGATGTACCCCTGTAGTCTCAGCACTCGGAAGGTTGAGGCAGGAGGATCGCCATGAGGTCGAGGCCAGCCTGGGCTACAGAGCGAGACCCTGCCTCAAAAAAGAAGCCTTGACAAGCTGTAAGAGGGAGGACAGTGAGAGGAGTGGTGGAGCCGCTGCCAGGTGCCAGTGCAGAGACCTCTGCTGTTCGGGTGACTTTGCAACTTCTGCTTTTCCCTGCCACAGGTGCAGCGCCAAAGGAGACGGAAGCAGAATGACCGCTGTGAACATAGACACCCTCGCAGGAGAACCTCAGGTTCCCGGCTCAAGTCTTGCCACATGAACACTGGCTGCAACAGAAGAGAGGAAAGTGGCTAAGAATGTGTATCAGGGTTTAGCAATGGGTATTTTTTTCCAGTGATGTAAGCATAAAAAACAAAAACGATTTTCTGTGCTCGAAGATGCAGGCTTTCATTGAGAGACTGTTTTCAGGCATTCATCTGAAGGATTTCAAATACTGTATGTCATTAAAGTGCACTGTGTTCTGAAATTCTCCTTATTTTTCATTTCAAAGAATGCACTGATTTGGGACAGGTGATGTGACATAAGGTGAGTGCGCGACACTCTCAGATCCCAGTGCCTTATGTCCGAACCAGCAATATGTGATCGCTGCTGCCGCCGGCCAAGCACAGAGAGCGGCCCCCAGCTCGAGTATGGAAAGGAAAAGTCTGAACGTTCCACCAAACCAGTCGTTTCCACCAGACTTGCCGAGAAGTCGCAAGCTGAATATAAGTAATTACTTACAATTTCTGTGACACTTTTCCGTTTGAAGCGTTTCTGTTCTGAGCTACCCTGTGAAGGAGGCTGCTTGACAACAGCTCTATTTATTTTTATTTCCATAGGGTTTTTTTTTTCACACATCTTTTGGTGGGGAAACTTCACCGCATCCACTAATAAACTCTTGGTTGCTGTTTGAAAATGGCCAATTTCTCATAATTTAAGCATTTGGCAGGAGATGACTTCTAAAGTAGCCACCGTGGGGTTCTTAGAAGCAAGTGTGGAAACGGGAACCAAGTGCCAGAGGTGTTTGGTTTTGGGGGGTTTTTTTAAATAAAATCATGACATTATGGCTGGGGATTTAGCTCAGTGGTTCTGCCGCCTGCCTCACAAGTGCGAGGTCCTGAGTTCGATCCCCGGTACCAAAAAAATAAATAAAATCATGACATTTGTACAACCGCCAAAGAGATTGTACATTTTATTGTGGCACATACAGTATTGTCATGCAGTTGAAGGAAACCAGGGTTTCCTCATTGTGAGTATTTGCAAATGTTAACACTGTTTAAATATGGGGAAAATTTGAGGTTTTGTTTTTTGAGGGTTTTTTTCGGACTGAAAAATTAAAATAAATCCTACTATTGACCATTTTGTTAAAGAAGTTCTTTTCAGTGCCATATGTTTCAGCAAGTGTTCATTAAAATTCCTCACACTGTTTGCCATTGAGCTGTTTTTCCCTGAATAAAGGAGTACGTAAGTTAGGCATGGTGTTGCACACCTGTGATACCAGTAGTCGAGAGGCTGAGGCAGGAGGATTGCTGAAAGTTTGAGGCCAGCTTGGGCTATATAATGAGTTCAAGGCCAGACTGGACCATATGGCAAGACCCTGTCTGAAAAAACAAAACAGGGCTAGGGATGTAGCTCAGTGGCACCATGCCTGCCTCTCAAGCGCAAGGTCCTGAGTTCAATCCCCAGTACCAAAAAAACCACAAAAACCAGTGCATGAATTTTCACCACCTTTAACCTGTCAAGAGGAAAAAAATACGTAAAAGTTTAATTCATAAACTCCCTCCATTTTTAAATATAAACAATTAAAAATTGCCACACAGCTTTTCTTGGGCTAAGTTGTCTTGTTTCCTAGCACGTCAAATCCGGGAGGAAGAGCCCCACATCTCACGGAAAGTACAGCTGTTTGATTTACACCAATGGTAATAATTGGGAGAAAAAAGTCACACAATCCAGAAACAGCCCGTTTTTACTCTGTGTGGCCACGTGGGAGTGGGCAGAGACTGCACACACATTTTGTGCGTGACACGGCATGGATCTGTGCTTCAGAAGACAGCTTGGGGCCACTTTGAAATGGGTTAGTGGTCTCTGGTCTTTATTTGAGACGGTCTCACTGTGCAGTTCAGGCTGGCCTTGGACTCACTATGTGGCCCAGGTGGCCTCAAGCTCAGCGATCCTCCTGCATCGATCGGCCTCCCCGAGTGCTGAGAGTACAGGTGTGCACCACTTCGCCTGACTTGGTCTCTCTTAACTCCCTTTTCAGGTCTCCACTGTGCGACTTGTCAGCCCCGCCAGGCTTTGGAGCCGCCTCCTTCCATCACTAGACCACTGCTAACAAGGGTCTGTGTTCCGTTTTGTCCAAGGGCCCAAGATAAAAGCTTGGGATGAGCAACGTGCTCCCATGCCTCTCTAGGAATAAGGAAAAGTGGCACTGCGAGGAGGGGACAAATAGGACATTCACCTGGGGTTTCTGTACCACCTCCCCTTCAGGCCAGGCTGCATCTGGTGGTGCCCAGCTTCCTCAAAGGGACTCGGAGGGGCCGCTGCCTGAATAAGATGGAGCCACCAGAAAAATCACCCCTGCTCCAGACACAAAGGGTGCGTGCTGTGCTCAGCATTCTAATTCTAATTTTAAGCCAAATCTATAATGTCAATTCTTTCAGCTTCTAAATTTTTTATGAGTCCGTGTTTGCAGTGCATGATGATTCCATTCCTCTCAGGGAGCTGGTATGCACACATAACACATCTCAGTTCTTTTTTACTTCCCTCTCCCTCCATCTCTTGGTCCCCTGCCTTTTTGCAAAAGATCTCTCTCCATTTCCTATTCTCTCTTATTTTGCTCTTGACTTTTGTCTCATAACATCAAAGAAACATTTGCACCGCTGTCTTCAAACCCAGTGTTTCCCAGCCAGCAGGCCTGTGGGCAGGGTGTATTTGGCAGCGTGAGGACATTTTTGGTTGTCACTGCTCGGGGTGGGGAGGGGCTGCTGCTGGCCTCCATGGGGGAGCCAGGGCACCCTCAGTAGGTTCCCCAGCCCTGAGTGCAGTAGGGGCATGTTGAGATTAGAAACCTGACCCTGCAGAGCCCCTGGGGACTTCGGCTACCTTTGTCACCCTCTGACCAGCCCTCCCTGTGTTGGGAAGAAAAGGTCAGCAGGTTGCCCTCAGGGAAGGAGGCGGATAGAAACAACTCCTTGGTGAACACACAAGTCCCCAGGTCCTTGTTACAGATGCCTTCCACTGGAATCTGGTCCCAAAGGGGAATGTGGCTTTGCCTAACAGTCCCCCCAGGAGAAAATCTTTACCCACAGGGAAATACTTGGAAAATAAGTTTTGCTCAGTTTATTTGAATACGTCTAGAACAAGCTCCAAAATTATGTCTAACGTAAAATTCCCCCAAAGCTGGCATAGTTATAAATCTATCTGGAGAGCGAGTTTAAAATGCTGTCACCTGGAGCCCGTCAAATTCCCTGGTGGGGACCACAATCCTGTTTCTTCAATGATTCTGCTCACAGTATGTCTGGGTTCCTTTCTGCAGGGAGTCTAGAGAAAGGCAGGAACCCAGTTCTCCAGCAGCTGTGTGCTTTGAGTACTGGCGAGGTGTAGCAGGTCAAAGCTAGAAACCACTGAACCCCTCTCTGATTCACTTGTCTTTCCTCCCGAGAAACCTGTAGCAGGTCTTCAATTTCCTGCTTGCTGGTGCACAGCCCTGAGCCTGTCTAGTGTGTCCCAGCCCTGGACCCTGCAATCAGCAAACGGCCCAGGGCAGGATGCATCTGAGACCCAGTGGCCCCAGGGTTGCCTGTTCCTAGTTTCTGGGGAGGAAAGAATGGGCCCCGTGTCTGTCCCTGTCTGCTGCTACCAGGGATTGAACCGTACCTCTTGTGCCCTGTGGCTCCAGGACCTCTGCAGATAGGAATATCCCACTCCCAACCGAGACACACCGTACGTGTACAGGGGTCAGAGGCAAGCACAGCCTGTCACATCTGTCCATCCTGTGTACCCAGACCACCCAAGTCAACCCCAAGGAACCAGGTCCACACCGGCGTCCGGGCCTTTCCAACCAGAAGCAGGGCCCTGGGTGCTCTTGTGCCCAGCACCCTGGCCTCCAGTGCCAGGCAGATTGGATGCACACTACCCATGACACACACAGGTCCTCGGGACAGGAGGTCAGAGCCAACTCATGACATCATGCATACACGCGGCCCACAGTTTCTCCTGGTGCCCCAGGTGGGCCAGGTGTGCCCGCAGCTGCCTCTGCAGTGCCTTCCCAAGATGGGGCTGAGCCCAGGGCTGCTGTCACCATCACAAGAACCACTGTGTGCGGGGCCTCGGACAGGGGCATCGCTTCTCCATGGGCATGGTGCCCCCAGCAGGCACCCTGAGGTGGCCCTTAGACTGCCTCCTGGCTGCACCCCCGGGCAGCCTCTCCTCACTTCAGGGGCTCTCGACAGACCTCTACGTCAGGCTCCCAGCCCCTTGGTTCCCTCAATGCCTGTAGGAGGGTACCCCATTTCCCCCCACTCCTGCAGCACTGCCATCTGCACACACAAAGCAGAGAAGCTAGAACCCCAAAGTGTTTTCTTGGCTTTTTGTTGGTTGGTTGGTTGTGTTTTTTGAGACAGGGTCTCACTATGTAGCCCAGGCTGGCCTCGAACTTGGAACAATACTCCTACCTCAGCCTTCCAAGTCCTGGGATTATGGGCATGCATCGCCATACCCAGCAGAACTCCAAAGTTTTCTGTGCGACTCTAATTCCTCTTCTTCCCCACCACCCTGAGGAAAACAAAATTGATGGCCTTTTTTTTCTGTGTGTGTGTCCACATGATACTGGGGATTTGAACCCAAAGGGGCTCCGCCACTGAGCAGCATTCTTAGCCCTTTTTTCATTTTAAGACAGGGTCTCACTAAATCACTAGGCTAGGCTGGAACTTTCGATCCTCCTGCATCAGCCTCCCAGAGTGCTGGGATAACAGGTGTGTGCCACCATCCCCAGCCAAATGGTGGCGTTTCCAACAAAGCTTTCCAATGTATCCAGATCGATCAGCCCTAAAAGTTGTTCCTTCCCATCGTCATAGTTGACTGCTGTTTTAAACCAAACCGAGGCATTTTATTTTTAGAATCCCCCTCCCTGAGCTGGGAAATCAGATCAGCCTGACTGCCAGAGCTGGGAAATGAAGACCCTGCTTGGCTGCCCTGCCCTGGCCTCCTCTACCCACCCCAGGATGCCTCCATCTCCACTGATGTAAATTCAGCTATTCCTCCTTTAGGTATCTCCCAGAAAGAGTTAAAGGCGACGCATTACAGTGGTCCATGCACACCCATGTTTATGGCAGCATAACTCATCAGAGCAAAATCTTGGAAGTGGCCTATATGTCCATCAATAATAGATCAATGGATAAAGAGAATGTGGTATTCACACATGATACAGTACTATTCTGCCATAAAGGATAAACTTGGCTGGGGATTTAGCTCAGTGGTTTCGCCGCCGCCTGCTATGCAAGTGCAAAGACCCAAGTTCGATCCCCAGTACCAAAAAAAAAAAAAATGAGCACATAAAGGATAAACTTGAGTCATTTGTAGGAAAATGAAAGCACCTTAAGATCATAAGGTTAAGTGAAATAAATCAGACACACAAGCTTAAATCAGACACACACCCATAACTTCTCTTGTATGAGAAACTCAAAGTATAAATTATTTTTTTAAATAAAAGATAATAACAGTAGATAGAGCCAGGTATGGTGGTGCACCCCTGTAACCCCAGCCCTAGGGAGGCTGAGGCAGGAGGGCTGTCACAAATTCTAGGCCAACCTGGGCTACATAGTGAGTTCAAGGCCAGCCTGGACTACATGGTAAGACCCTGTCTCAACCCCACCCCTCAAAAAAACCAAAGCAGTAGATAGAACTTTTGCAAATGAGAAAGGAATCTAGAGATGGAGCAAAGGGGGGCGGGGGGGGGGGCGCGAATAAAAGTTAAAATGTGTTAAGTACATGTACCAGCTCCTTAACAGCAATGTAAACATTACGTACCGCAAAGGCGGACTAATATGAAAAAATTGAAAGAAATTCAGCCCATCTTCCACGGCCCCTAACAACCAGCACTTCCAGTGAGGCCCCTGTCACTCATCCTGCCCAGCGCCAGCCTTGTTGCCCGGACCGTCTGCTGTCCTAGCAGGGAACCTCAGCGCGATCCTTACCTGGCTCAGCGGGGGCTCTCTGTGAAGTCCCAAGGGATTCAAGCAGTCCTGCGGCCCCAGCATACCATAGGACAACCGTGGTCCCTCAAGATTCTAACGGAGCCAAACACTTCCTACCACCGCGTAACGAGGCAGCTGTGGTGACATTGTGCCATTTTAAAA